CTGAATGTAATCGCGACAGGATGTGTCATTTACGATGAAAAGCGCCATCATCATCATCGACTTTATGGAACGCTCGTTTAGCACTTTCGCATCAAGGAAGGAAGAATGAAAAACAAAACAAAAAAAATAAGGAAGAAATACCCGAATCTTCTACAAATATTGTGTTAAGCTTTCTTTAATCTCGACTGGGTATCAATATTTACAGATAATCCATTCTTCGACATCGCAGTTTCAAGTTTAGAAACGCATTTTGCGCATTCGATTGTGTTAATCTCTTTAAATCCATAGTTTAATGATACATTTCTTATAAACGTCATGGAAACGTCACAATAATATTTTTTTTTGACAGTTCTCCAGAGAAATGTCAACAAAATCGGTTATCAATTTATATAAATTGACGATTTTGAGGGAAATGTTGAAGAAAATTAATTAGGCTAATGTCAAATATTCAATCGCAGATGCGGTTTGGGAAACACTGGCGTAAAAATGAATTGAATGAATATGATTCCAATTGATGGGAATGTCAATGAGAAACGTCAAATTTTGTTGATTTTGTTGTCAGTGGTTGCCATGGGAGCAGGAGGGATTGGAATTCGAACGCTGGTTGACCGAAGTCGTTGGTCGTTTTCTTTCGTTTCGCGTATTTTATATTGTTTCATATTTAACATAAATTCATCCCGCCGTTGAATTTTAATGACTTTATGCTGCAATAGAGAGCCGGGGAAGGTTGGAATGCGTTCCGCGAAAGGCTGACGTATTTCGGCATTAAATAAACGCGAAAAGGAAACGTAACCTCCTCCCTCTCCTCTCCGCTCAACTTCTTTCTCCTCTTCTACCTCTTTCAACACCACTTCACTTCTTTTATCGCATTATTTCTTCTGTTCGTTCGTTCCTTCCTCCTTCGGCTCTCGTCCTCTTTGAGTGTCGTCTATATACTTCTACTTCTGCTGCGGCGGCGGCTACCGTTCACTTCCCACAAGGCGGAAAAACGATTTCGACTTCGCGCGAATCGTATTGCATAATGTCGAGGCGCGAGCGGAAAATCGTTAATATTTACCCGCATATTTTCACGTTGACCAGTCCGAACCTTTGCGGACGGAAACGCAGAGATGGAGACGAATATATAGTTAATCTCACGCATGCACACTACCACTTAAAAACTTTCATTCATAATATTCATTCATAGATTCAATTGACATTTTTGACAGGTAACTGCTGATAGTTTTTCAATGCTTTGACACATGCGGTGACAGCTGTCATTTCGCGACTCGTAGGTTGAGAAACGCTGCTCTATTACATTATTTATCAATTCTGAATCAAATAAACATTCACACGATACAGATTTTAGTTTTCTTCTTCTATAATGCATCAATTTTATGATTGCATTTTATAATTGTCGTGTGTGTATGTATATACACATTGAAGACTTGTTTGGTTTTGAAGCAGTCAGCCGGAAATAATGCAGTATTGGCAGAGGAAACGCTCTTTACGATATTTGGGTTATAGGAATTAAAAATTTAATTATCGCGTTTCCTTCGTGCTGCTGCGACTGTTATTTATTGTTTCTGCGTAACCGTCAAGGCAAGGTTGTGTCTCTCCTCTCCTCTCTTCTCGATACCGTTCCGTGAGAAAAGCGATGCTCCTTTGTTTTCGTGGCATGTGTCATCGTAGAAATTGATCATCGTTAGAAGAAAATCAAAGAACCAGAGCAAACAAACGAGAATCGCATTCTTTTGTCTTCGTCTTCGTCTGAGTCGAGTTTGCTTCGCCTGTTGACACACAAGTCTTCTCCTTTTCTTTTTTTTTTTTCATATATTTTCATTTGCTTTCTTAGTTTTACGTTCTTCCTTTCTCTTTCTGTCTGTTTTGCGAATATGTATTTAAAAAATCTTCTTCGCAGAGATTAAACTGTGAGGGCAAGTTTACTTTGCAACGTATTTATTTTCGTCTCGGCATTCGCACGTAACAGATTATTGAAGACATTTCATGAATGAAACTCGAAACAACTCGATTAGGACCGTTTCGGTTTTAACTGGCCGTGTTATGAGAAGCAGAAATAGCCGCAAATAACACATTTCTTGGAAAAATATAAACAAATATCGTTCGGAATGTTGCCCGACTTATTTGTTGCTCTCCGCATCTTATATTTCTATCGTTTTGTTGCAATTTTTTATTGCTCTCTCTCTCATAGTTTCGTGATATCACGAGAATGAAACACACTCGATCCTGAATCATCTCTATATTAACAGTTTAGATAGGACAATCTCGTTAATTGACGCTGTTTCATCGAATTGTATTTAATGTAATTACACTCTGATGAATTCGCACAAATTTTCCATTTTTAAATAGAAACTTTCCCTTTTCAAGCAGGTAACTTCTATTATATTTTTGGTGTTAAACTTGTAACCGTGTCAAATCGATCCTTTTCTATCCATCCAACTTTCGTTTGCAAAAATTCTGTATTGTTGCATCAATCTCGCTTTTCTGTACTGATTCAAGGAGACAGCAGACCATCGTCTCCTGTATTATTATTTTTTTTAAATTCTAATCTACTCATATGGAGGTTACGTAAAATGTGTTGACAAGGTAAACAGAATTTTACTAACGGTTTTCTTGATACACAGTTCGTGTACTCGGCACGACGCGTTCTCCCTGGATAATGCCGACATATGTACGTACGTACGCCTCTGTGACAGAACATAACTGAGGTCACGTTTGGGCCCGTATCCTAACTTTTCCAAATTGAAAATCAAATTTCAAGTTAAATGCAATAAAACCGTGCTCAGGTATACTCAGGTCCGTAAAACCCCTGTCGGTTATATTGTGTTTTTATTGAAAATAAAGTATTTCCAACTTATAATCGGTAGAATCAGTAGAATATGTCAAATTATTGAGAAATGTCAATGTCACTTTTGTTATTGTATATTGTATATTGATATTGGATTTTTTTTGTAATCAAATACTGAAAAAATAAGACATTTGTAAATTTATTGCGTATGATTTCTGTAACGGTTGTATTTGCGGTTACGTAATCAGTAGAATAATGTCAAATTATTGAGAAATGTCAATGTCACTTTGGTTATGTTTCATATAATGTTTCATATATTGTATATTGATATTGGATTTTTTTTTGTAATCAAATACTGAAAAAATAGGACATTTGCAAACTTTTTGCTTATGATTTCTGTAACAGTTATGTAATCAGTAGAATATTGTCAAATTATTGAGAAATGTCAATGTCACTTTTGTTATGTTTTATATAATGTCAATGTATTGTATTGTATATTGATGTTGGATTTTTTTTGTAATCAAATACTGAAAAAATAAAACATTTGCAAACTTATGATTTCTGTAACGTTTAGGTAATCAGTAGAATAATGTCAAATTATTGAGAAATGTCAATGTCACTTTTTTATGTTTCATATAAAGTTAATGGTATTGTATATTGATATTGTTTTTTTTTTAAATCAAATACTGAAAAAATAAGACATTTGCAAACTTATTGCGTATGATTTCTGTAACGGTTAGGTAATCAGTAGAATAATGTCAAATTATTGAGAAATGTCAATGTCACTTTTGTTATGTTTCATATAATGTCAATGTATTGTATTGTATATTGATGTTGGATTTTTTTGTAATCAAATACTAAAAAAATAGGACATTTGCAAACTTATTGCGTATGATTTCTGTAACGGTTGTATTTGCGGTTACGTAATCAGTAGAATATTGTCAAATTATTGAGAAATGTCATTGTCACTTTGGTTATGTTTCCTTGGCAATTGATAGTGAAAATATTCAACTTCGCAATTTCTATCAATGTCACCACTTGAATTACTTGAATTTGTATGTCAAGATAAAATGTAGCAAATTGCATTTATGATAAAAACAACCATGAAATTAAAAAGCAATTAATACAAAGAGAGTATTTAAAAAGAAATGAAGAAAGAATAAATCATTGATTAGAAATACGCTTTTGCATCGTATTATATGATGATTGTGATTTATGTCAAAGTAATTGATTACAGTTCAGAAATCGATATTCGCATTCGTAAATCAATGAACGTTTCAACGTTATTTATAGACGTTGCGAATATAGCCAATTTTATCTATATGATGCCAATGAAATTTGCTATAAGATATTGAAAAGAAAATCAATTTTGCCTTGGATGTGGTAACTTCATAATATTTACGTTATTTTGACTGCTATTTATAAAATAATAACGTTGCAAATTGCAGGATATAATTAACAATAGTAGAATTAAACATGTTAACAAGATAATGTTCAACTCCTTGTTAAATTAATTGAGTTTATAATGCAATTACTTTGACAGTTAAACGAGTGTCATTTTGTTTTTGTTTCGCGTTGCTGCAACTGAAAAACAAAGTGCGCTTTTTGTTTTTGTTTGTTTGTTTTTTTGTTGACAGGAGAATCTTGGGTTATGTGGATGGATAAGTGGGATTGCAGAAAGGATTGATTCCTTCTTCACGGTGTTGCTGCTGCTGCTGCTGCTACCTCGAAACGTCGTCCAGGTATTTATTTTATTTGACGTGAGCTATGCGGGGTTGATTTAAGAAATGGAAATCGTGCTGCAATTTGTTGATGTTGCTCCTGTGTGCTGCAGTATGTAGGTAGTATTATATAGGATATGTGAGTGTTTGTATGTTTGTTTTTTTTTTATCGGCTGCAAATGATTGTTCGGAATTGATTATGAGAATCTGCTTGCAGGGAAAGGAAACTTGCCGGCAGATGTTTGCCGGCCAGTGGTGGCTGGCAACTTTGATCCGGCAGAAGAGCTTCTTAGCCCAAGAGTATTTATACCACCACATCATACAAGCAGCATTGAAGACGAGAAGTGCGTCTGTGTCTCTCTATGCTGTTGCTGCAAGTGGAAGAGAGACGGAGAGTGAGAGAGCGAGACAAAGATTGACGAAGGAAGAACAGCATTGTGGACGACCGATTAAAGGACAAAAGTTTAACAACGAGAGCGAAGTGTGTAGTAATGCGAGGTAGTTCGACGTAATAGAGGTACATCCCTGAAAATTCCCCAGGTGCACGTTTTTTTTTTGATAAAAGGGGCGCCTGCGCGCGACTCCTCCTCCTCGCTATAAGAATCAACGTCGTCGGGGTGAACCTTTCAGACTGTTCCTTGCCTGCTGACGGAGCGCAACGGTTGTCATCATTACCAGAGCAACAACAGTACCACCACCACCACCACTCCAATACCGACCAGCAGCAGCAGCAACCTGTGTGTGCGTGTTTCCATAGATACTTCTCACGAGTTACCATCGCAACGCGACACAACAACCTGTCGGAACGGCCCCCCAAGTGCTTTTGTTTCTGTGCTCGTAGATAGATAGATAGACCAAGGTGTGCGAACAATTGTTTCCGTTTCCCTCTTTTGTTTTTGCATAATAGTTTGACATATTACTGCAAAAAAAAAACAAAAAGAGAAGATGAATCTTGCGTGCAACGAGCGCGTCGGTGGCGTGAATTACGCGACGAACGACCCGGTGATCTTCGCCGATGAACGCGTCGTCGAACACCTCCTCGAGGAGGAGCGTCTCTACGTGCCCCCGTGCAACTACTTTGAATCGGTGCAGACGGACATCGAGCCTTTCATGAGGAAAGTCGTCACAACCTGGATGCTCGAGGTAAGCAGACTAGCAAATAAATAAAAAATAAATGGTGCACATAAACAAACGAGAATCGTCGCGGCGGCGGCTCTCTGCCGAGAAGTCAACAGTTTCTCGGAAGGCAGAAGCGCGCTGCCCAGACACGAAAACAAAACAACAATAACAAAGGAGAGGCCCAAAGGCAAAAACGTATTATTTATATATATATAAAAAAAAAAGAATTATACAACTCTTCCCCCAAGAAGAGTTACGTAACTTCTTATCAGCGTGGGCATTTAAAAAAAAAATCCAAACGAAACGTCACTCTTCGATCCCAATACACTTTGTTTACCATCAGCAACTGTTTTATCACCAATGACATATATAATTTTTTTTTTTTTTAAAGAACCAATTTAAATGCTCAAAAGCATTGATGAGATGATACGAAAGTACATCGATGATGATATTTTTCTGGAAAGTATTCCTCCTTGCGCAAGGTCTGTTTACAAAACGCGTCCATAAATAATTGAATAATCTACGTGCGCTCTCCCACACTCCTTTCCTCTCCTCCGCTGTCGCGTCGTGCATTTAAAATAACCTAAAAACACGAATGTGCGGGCATTTAAATATGTGCGTAAACATACATCGTAGTGTGTATGTGTCTGTGTTTGTGGCGCTCGTTTAATGCGAGCGAGCATTCGCCGAGCGCGTTTCCCCCATTATCTAACGAGGAAATTGTTGACGCTCCGTTTTTTGACAGGTCGTCGCCGCCGCTGATTAGGGGCCTCGAACGCGTTTCCTCGCTGACCCTCTTGAATAACTCCGTTGAGCGCCTTCGAAAGATTATGCATATATGCACTTCTGACATCGTTCGTTGCAGCTTTTTGTTCACTTTGACTCAATTCAAATTTTGACGTAAATTCAAACTTGTGTCAAAATATTCAAACTTACGTCAAATTCAAACTTGTGTCAAAATATTCAAACCCACGTCAAATTCAAACATGTGTCAAATTCAAACTTGCGTCAAATTATTAAAATTTGGTCCTGTGTCGATTTGCGCCATACAAATAATATATGTACGACAAATATCATTTGCATGAATGGAATTCACGCTAATTAAAATCAATTTCGCTGTCCTGCACTTTGTGTCGATTCGGTGCCATCGAACGAATGCGCACACCAATCGATACATCAACGTAATTGACGTTTAACTTCTGTCCAATTAATTTAACAGTCACTCAAGTGACATTTACATAAAGCTTTTCGAATGGAATTCGGTCTCACTGCCCCTCAATTCATTTTAATTTATCCCCTCACATCAATATTCCATCAAATTCATTAGATTTAGACAATTCAATCGACTTTGACACTATACAGTTGACATTTATTTTCATTAAAAGTCATTCCAATCCAATGTTTCAATATTACTAAGAATTATATTGCATAGTTAAATGCTTAGTATTTCAATTCGAAATATGTGTTTACTCGAATAGGAAGGACTTCGTTGGAATTTTGTAATTGTTTTTTTTTCGTTCTTCTTTGGAATCTTGTATAATTCATTTCGTGCAAATTTAAAGTAATGATTTTATTATATTTCTTTCGAATTCTTGAAGTTTCAATGATTAATAAGTTGATGCACGATGTCAGATGCGCGAATTCTATATTTTTTTTTTCTGTATCAATTCGAGTTCGGACATGGTACGTTCCTTGTGGGAAAACAACGATCTGTTCGCTTCTGCCGTTTCCATCTCGCTTCGATCTTTATTGAGTCAAGGTTTTTAAATGGCCGCAGGAATGCGCCGGTGCTTTTTTCTTCTCTCTCTGCGTTTGTCTGTTGTCGTTATACTCGTCTCTCCTTCAATTATTTTTTTTTTCTTGTTAAATGGAATAGAAATGAGCGATGAGAGAGAGAAAGTTGTTCAGGTGGAGAGGTGAGGAGAGAAATGTGAACACGTAATAATTATGTGAGCTGATTATGCAGAGCGCGGCTTCAGTTGAATGGATTTTCGGGACCCTTCTTTAGGTTTACTAATCCTCTTCTCCGTCCATCGATTTCTCGATTAATTAATCGAAGAATTATGATATTTGTTGTGTGCGGTGTGTCGATTAAGTGGAAGTGTTTTCCACATTCCTTCCTTGTGATTCTCTGCGGTTTCGTTTCCGAGCCACGACGGTGACGACGGTGGCGGTGAGGGCAGGTTTCTCTATAGAAATTCCTTTGGCAGTCGTCGCCTCTTCCTCCCTCTCGTCCGTCGCCAGCATCTCTTAGTCCTCCTCCTCCTTCTTCATCTTCTTCGGCTCGCAGCCCAAGAGGCATCCTCTTCTTGTTGTTTGTCTTGCTGAGAAGATGGGAACGGGACGGAGAGGAGACCAGAGATCCGGTTTAACTAGATGAGAGAAGAGCCTCCGCGATCCAAGGAGGAGACGCGCCTAAACGCCTAAAAACTAGGCCCTCTCTCCCGATCGCAACCCGATCACCGCTTTCTTCGTCGTGTCCGAATTCGATTCCATCCTTCTTCCACTTCCCACCTACCGCGACGGCGGTGCCGAGAAGAAAGAAGAGAGGCCTCCCGAGAAATTTATGAATGAAAACGACGGCACCCAGCGACAGAGCAGACCGATACATAACATAAATGATAATAAATACATCTGTCGCGCAGATGAGGAGGAATCTAACTAACTAACTACATACATACACTCTGTCTATTTATAAATAACTTTTTGAATGGGACGAGATGAGCGAACGGCCTTGACGAGGTCCATTCTCTCCATGAATCTTCTCATCCGCCTCCTCCTCCTTCTCCTCTTCCTCACCCACCAACACCACCGTCGTCGTCCTCTTTCTCTCCTCCTTTGCTTTGCTTCTCACCACAATTCATACATAGTCGGCCGGCGCTTTAAAACTTGAACTGTCAAAAACAAAGAAACAAGAGCGTAGCGCGACGACACATCAAACATCATCTACAATTCAAATCACTCGAATACCACAGCACCAGCATCATCAAAATCTATATAACTACACTTAAACTCTCAACTTATCATTTTTTTTTAGCACAAACGTCAAACGTCAATCAAACATTGTCAATGTCAAATGTCATAATTGATAGTGTTCTTAAAGTATGATTTTATTATATGCAAGTTTGGTCCATATAAGTCGAACCCATCAACCGCGACTCCTACATGTTTCACGGTGGCCCCCCAGGACTTCTTTCGAGTTGAGCTTTCCCAACTCGCGCTTCAACCGAAAGACGTTTAAGACGAGAGTAAATCAAAACTATTTATGGACGCCACATTCTTAATGTGGAATATACAATGTTCTACAATTAGTACAACATATACACTCTAATTTGACAAGAATCAACAGTAAACGTGATTTCATTCGATCACACTGTACGTATTTAATTACAATCGTCTTTAATGATTATCATTTTGGAGGTAGCGTGGAGTTTTTGTTTTTTTATATATAATGATATCTGAAGAATGCTTTTGTTCATGTAATATTCAATCCATATAAGTACGAAGCTTTATGAATACTCCTACATGTTTCACGGTGGCCCCCAACAGTTTTTTTTTGTTGTTGTTGTTGTTTTGTTTTCGTAGCATCGAATAAGTTGAAGCTGAAAGTTCAGCAAATTTTGACAACTGCTGCTTTATAACTAGAACAGTTGTCAAAAGTGACGTTTACACTGTCGATGATTGTAATTATCGTTGCGTGATACTGATTGTTTTCTTTTTGTTGTTGTTGTTGTTGTTGAAGGTGTGCGAGGAACAAATGTGCGAGGATCAGGTGTTGCCGCTGGCTGTGAACTTCATGGACAGATTTCTGAGCGTCTGCAACATCAAGAGGCAACAATTGCAACTGCTGGGAGCGACCTGTCTGCTGATCGCGTCGAAGGTCCGAAGCGCGACGACGCTCTCCATCGAACTGCTGTGCGCCTACACCGACTACAGCGTCTCCCATGACCACATCTCGGTAAGTCATCGTCTCTTCATAATGGAAATGATGATGATGATCATCATCTCTCACTCACCACTTCACCATTCACAACAACCACTTTCCAACGCTGCGGCCGCCGTAACCATCTCGGATTCGTTCGCCGGCCGCATTTTTCGCCACCCGCGTTCACAAAATAAACGCCGACGACCCGCGACGACCACACAATTCGATCGGCCCTTTTCTCTCACTCACTCACTCTCATTCACTCGTCTTGAAATTATAACATGATAATAATAATTATAATGACGATGATGATAATAATGGGAAGAGGATTCAAGGTGGTTGGTCATTGATTCGCTCGCTTCCTTCCTTTTCACGTAAGGGACTTCTTTCGGAAAGGGCCAATCAACGATCGGGGATCTCCCTTTCGTCCGACAAGGCGATTGTCTCCGATAAACAAAAGACGGACAACAACCGCAGGAAACCCGCTCCACATTGTTGCGCGATCGTAACGAGTCGGTCTGTCGGTCGTCTCTCTCACCCCGGGGATGCAATCTTAAATCACTCACATCCTTTTTAATTCCTGATTACGTTTCATTTACAAGCCACGAAACGAAATGGCAGGAAAGGAAAAGGACGAAGAATAAAAGGAAAACATCAACATGTCCACACGGTATGACAAATTGACAGATCCACAAACTTCTTCAATTAATCAAGACGTTGATTTCAACAATTTATCTCCCATTCATCGGATATAATATATGTGTTCTGCGCTCTCGATAATATCTGTTATGACTAAAACCAGACTAGACAAAATACAAAGTAGTAAAGTCTGGTTTCAGTTGTTTTGAATGCGAGGGTCCGGCAATTGTTTTATGCCTGCGCGATTTCCGCGCGTCTAGATCTGTATCAACGAAAACAAACACACACAGAGAGCAACGGGCGAAAAATTCCTTCCTTCGATTGTCGTTTCTTCTCCTCCTCCACAGACCGTTGTTGCTGCTGCTGCTGTTGTTGTTGTTGTTGTTTGTTATTATGTTATGAACGGACCCGGTGTTTCCTAACGATTTACGACTCATTGTTTGATGCATTCATTCTCCATTTAATCTCGCCGAGAGAGAGAGAGAGAGAGAGAGAGAAAATAAAAAGAAAAATAAGAAATAAATGTTGCCTCGCTCGGAACGAAAACGTTGCCGTTTCGCGAAACGTCTCCGATATCGCCCCGTTTAATGTTTCCTCCTTTTGCCAACGAGGAAGCAAATTCCAACGCAATTCACACTTTCCTCTGATTAGAGACTTGCGCGCCCCCCGTTACTGCAACTCGTGATACAAACTTCTTTGTTTGTCGTCTTTTGAGACGTAAAGAGGATGGAGCCAGGTGATGCTTATGCAAATTCCCTAAAAAACATTCTCTTTTGTTGTGTGTGTGTGTGCAAATGGGAAACGATTATCCGGGAACGGGACACCACCGATCTTTGGGAACAAGAAAAGAAAAGAAAAAAAAACGGGCGTGATTAATAAAGGGTTCCTTTTTCCGATATGTAAATATAGATCCTAAAGGATGCGAGTAGAAATGGAAACGAATGAAAAAAGAGGAAGGAAACCGCAGCACCCTTTCGTGCGTCCCGTATCGGAAAGCAAGCAGGGCGAGAAAAGGGGACGAAACTTTCTCACAATCCCTTTTGACCCCCCTTTAGTCTAACTGTCTATTATTTTCTTTCTCACTAGCAGAAATAGACTAGACCCACATGACCTGCATGCTTTTTTTTTTTTTCTGTTATTCGAAATGCGAGAGCCCTTCGGAAAATCGGAACGTCGAAAATCATTTAGGCCCGGTGCGAAATTAAAAAGCTACGATCGCCGTTCGCTTCGCATGCGGGCTCATTTATATGAACGGGATTTCGGCACCAAATAAACAACCAATTAACTTTTCCCACACACGAGATTTCAGCTTGCCTTTTTCTTTCACAGGCATACACTTTTTTTTTTTGTTGTTGTCGACGCTGTTTTGCAGACAACTTTATTTCTTCGGTGTTTAGATTCACGATGTTTTCGTCTATCAATTGGACTTTTATCTGCTGCTCCTGTTTTGTTGCCATACATTTTAACACCAAATAACACGTCCAAAATAAATTTATGTTTCTGTAACGAGAGCAAAAAAAAAAAAAGAGTATCTTATCGTTTCAAAACTGAATCGTCGAGACAGTTTAAGTATATAGAATTTCAATTTATTAAGTATTAAGTTAGTGATTCTAATGGAAAAAGTGGAATTGATAAAAATTTAAATGGGATTTGGGGCAAAGTGTCGAGACTCGTGGAACAGCTCGAGAGAATCTCTGAAATGATAATTGTAATAGAAAAAATGACATAGTTCCCATAACGGTCCTACTGTTTCTCTTGCGGTGTGTTTTGGTGAGCGCGCATCGCGTTGTTGTCTGTCTCCGTGAAATATGTCACAGAAAACCGCAAAATTGTTTCGGCCCTGCAATAATTGGTTGCGGTTTCGTTGCATTTCATCCACTTCCGCTCTGTCCTCCTTTCGTTGTATTCTATTTATATCTATATATAAATTTTAATAGTTTCCTTTTGTTGTGATGTTGCAGAACTGGGAGCTGCTGGTTTTGTCAAAGCTCCAATGGAAACTGTCCGCCGTGACGGGCTTCGACTACGTGGATCACATCATCGGCCGCTTTCCATGGGGAAACGACAGTCAATTATTGAGGCGACATTCTCACACTCTTGTCTCCATCTGCTATACCGGTAAGTCTCGAAAGAAGTAATAATAATAATAATAAGTTATGATTAGAACTGGGAGGGGGGGTTGAACAGAAAAAGGGTACGTTGATCCATTCATCTAGACGTAAGTTGCGGAAGAGTTGCTTGCAGAAGCTGCAGCGCTGTTGCTTTTTTTTTTGGTATGTTTTTGGCGACCGTCCGTCTGGGCATCGTCTAGCGCGACTAACTGTCGCTTTGGATGGATGATGTGAGACGACGACCGACCCGTTAGGTCATTAGCGGATCCCGCCGATTTTCCGGTCGCCGTTTAAATGGACGCGAGCGCGCTCTGGGGCCTTTTAAAAATCGAAAACGGCGCCACGCACCACTTCGTTCGTCGTCGTCTCCCCCTTTAAACGCGACCGCGAAATCCTGCACATCCGCCGACGTTTAACTACCGGCACCTATCACTCTCTTTATATATACCTACGGAAAAATAGAAACATTAACCTCATTATTATTTTATTTAAAAAAAAATATATAAAAACGCACCTGTCGTTGTCGATACACGCAGCTCGTACGAACAACAAAGGTGACCAAAAAAAAGTAACATTTCTTTTTCAAACAATTCCCACAATCGAAATGTACATAAACATTCATAATTCGTACCTTACAAATCATAAAATAAAAGACAACTTGTTCTCATGACAAGTTCAGGCAAATTTATGAACTGTCAAAATGTCACATTTACGTCAAACTTTTACGAAAGGATTCTTAATACAATTGGGGTCACTATTCTTTACCGCTTCATCACATCTTTTTCTCTCACGTAATATTTGTCCATCGGGTTAGTGGACTTCCTCGGTCCAGTTAGAAATTAGGCTTTATTTCTTCTTTTTTTCCCGGGCAGCAAAGTGATGTAAACATCTGGACCAAGATCTAACTGTAATCTTAACAATAGGAATAAGCAACTGCTGCGCATTCGATAATTTCGATGTTGCAACGGAAATTCCCTACTTGCATTCGTTCTGTTCTCTTTCGTTTGCACAATTGTTTCAATAATCGAGTTGTGCATTTGTTTTTCTTTTTGTTGTCGTTCTGCGAGAAATGTAGTCGTAGTTTTCCAATAATAATTAAACATTGTAACGAACGATTTAATATTATTTTTGAGCCAACCAACGTTTCGACTCAATTAAAACAAATTAAAACCGTAATGATTCGTTTTGGTAGATGTAAACATTGACTTAAATTGTAACACTTCTCTTTTAATTTGAGTCGCATTTTGAACAAATTACTTTCGCTTCAATTAAAACGTTTGATTATATAATTCAAGTGTTGCTTCTTTTTAAACGAGTGCCCTCTTGCTAATAATAATATCATCATTTCGTGTATAGTCCAATTAGTAGACTCGATGAAATATTGTAATTCGAAATTGATTTGATTTTTCAATTCGAAAGCAACTTTACTTCTTTTTTTGTTTAATTTAGCGGAAACACGTAAATCCCGCTATAAGCAATTTCTTTTGTTTCTTCTTTTTCTTCTTCTTCTTTCAATTCGGCGACCGCCTGGAATTTCTGTCCGTCAGTAAAACGTGATACTTTTGACACATATATTATTTAGCGGCAGTTTTTTCTTTTTTCCTTTCATTTCTTTTCCGCGTTCGCAAACTGATAACATTGATGTTTTGCGTGCGAGAGAACTACTGCAGATTTCCGGTCGGTCGAAAACCGCCAACTTGGATGGATGGATTCTCTCATTCATTCATTCGGAATAATGTGTTGTCGTCGTCGTCGTCGCGTTCGAATTTAAACAAGGAACATGTGTTGTTGCGTCTCCCGAGTATTTACGTTAGCAATCCACCCTCAACTTGTTTTTTTCTCTCTTAAGAATTCTTCTCGTTTTTTTCTTCAACTCTCTTTCATCCTGCTTCGTGTCGGTCGGTGGTGGCTTGTTTTTTTTCTCTCTCTTCCAGCGCCAACCCCCCTCGACGCGTAAATAAATACACTTCTGGATAGACGCCACCGATGAAATTTGAACAAAATGAAAAAAAAATTATATATATAATTAAGTATCTCACGGCCTTTGCGTTTGTAAACATTTTTGTTGTTTCTTTACATATATATATATATTTTTTTTGTGTTCAACTCGATAAACAATTCGTCGTGTCGACGCAGTAATGCAACATATTCCTGATATTTATATATTTCAATGCCGCGTTTCCTGCCGACGCGCGCAATTCAGGACGAAGGAACAAAAGGAATATTTGCATTCGCGTTCGTTCTTCATTTCTGGGTTAACGAGGTTATGGCAATATTTTATTTAACGACCTGCTACTTCTGTCGTCGTTTATTATTTATTATTATTTACCACCACCGAAATAAATGGACGCAATCGGAAGCGGAAACTGACTCATCAACGCGCGCGAAAAGGGCAAAATCGTATTGTTCCGATTCTGCAAACCAGACGTTTTTTTTTCTTCATCCTTCCTTCCTTGTAACAGTATTCGTGATCACTTTGTAAAACTGACATCCATCATTGACAACTGTCAGTTTGACTCTTTTTTTTTTTCTCTCTATACCATAGCAATTTACGTTACAGTTTTTTTGTTTTTTTTTTTGGGGGGTAGAGTTTCTCTTTATGAATTATGGAGGTAATTGCCGGTGGTGGTTGGTAGTTGTTTAATTGTATACATTGAGGGTGGGTTGACACAGAAAGGTGCGATGACTCTCGTTAAAAAAGTGAGCGAGCCCTATGAGGTCGGAAAAACAAACACGTATCGGAATGGCGCTGGCGGTGGTGGCGGCGAGGTCGTCAATTAGTTTGACATTAAATGTGTCATAATTGCAGTTCAATATGTCGCGCATGAAAGAAGCTTTTCGAGGTTCACATCTGTCCGCGACGAGTGCAAATGGAATCGCGCCAGCTGCCCCCGGACATTCCGATACTCTAGTAATGGTTATAGTGTGTACTAGCTGGCGGTAATCATTATAATCGTACTATATATAATTTTTTTTTCTTCTTTCGTGTATTTGCTTTTTGGGTATGTAGATAGGGTGGAGATTAGAAGAGAAGGTTGGACTTGTTTGAGTTCTGCTATTTGCATATTTCGTTGAATAGCAGAACAGGACTAGTCGTAGGGTACTTACTTGCTTGCTAGTAGAGCGCAAGTGTTTATTATACGAGGAAGGGGGAATCCCCGCTCGAAGGGTTTATCGTTTTGTTTTTTTTTTGCGGATCATCTCAGGTGGCTCCGGTTCTTTCCTCCTTCACCTCGTGCACCAGGTGGCGTCGCTGCTGCGGGCATTTAATCCGCCATTTTTAAAAGGACTCGCTTTCTTAACAACAACAAACAAACAAAAAAACAACAAAATAAAGCTGCTTCCTCTGACATCATCACCGAACGATTCATACTTTTTACGATCCATTTTCTATTTTATTTGTTTTCTTTCACCTTCACACTGTTTTACTTTTTATATATATTTATTTTATATATATATACAATTATTTTTTTTTATTCGCAATTTCCCAACGAATTCAAGGATCTGAAATCTTTCCTCGTTATTGCTTTGCGGCCTCCCTTTCTCTCTCTCTCTTTCTCACTCACCATAAGCAATCGTGATTATATTCTAATGATCATGTTGTACGCTGCTGTTTTTTTTTCTTCCTTCTTTCATTTCGTTGTTTAATTTTTTTTTGCGCTCGCCGTTATTATATAAGAGTCCGCATCATCATTGTTTGTTGCCGGTGTGTATTATTAGATGTGTGGGATTTAATTCCTGCTGTTGTGGCATTTAAATTTGACGCATCCACGTGTGTTTTGTTGGGATCGCAGTAATCAGAGCATGATTTCTCTTTCTCTCTCTCTCTCTCTATCTCCACAGGTTGACGTATTCTCTGTTGTTTTTTTTTCTTTTGTTTTCACTTTAAATCTGAAGATCGTTACTTGTTTCTAATCGAAATTTCACCAATCACCGCACAATTGCCCAACGCCAATCCAAGACTTACAATCACCTCCAATCGGTTGGAACAGTTTATAAATCTTCAGTTGTATCTATTATTTTGTTGATTTTATTGAGGACGAAGATGAATGCAAATGTAGGATAAATTTCAAAGTTAAATGAATTATTTACATTCTAATAAATTACACGATACAAGTTTTTTTTTTCAACCAAAAGTTGTAAATCGATTATACACTGTACGTAAAGTCACGTTTTCTACGATTTGTGACTTTCTCTACCTCAAACTAAACTTTGACGTGTCGTGACGTTTAAATCCGTTACGTCAAATGTTTCATTTCATTAAAAAAAACAATTGCGTTAATTTTTCAAAGCCTGCTAAATCTAATCCAAAAGAAGTAAAACAAATGATGTTTTCTTATAAGTTTGCGAATTTCTACGCGATTTGTATTAATTTCATGCCATCGAAAGAATTGCGCAATAAGTTATAGTTTCATAAATCGTTTAGCGCGAAGAATCAAGTCGCCCGGTGTTGGAGTTTCCATTTTTTTTTTATTTCTTTCTTTCGAGATTACATAAAGAGAGCCCCCCCTTGTATTGGTTTAAGATTTTCAGCAGATGCGCGACTCCTTTTCTCATTGTTTATTTTTTCCATTCGATTGTGAGACAGTTTTGTCGATTTTTTTCCACTCTCTCGTTGCCTTCCAGATGTGTTTGCGTTTGTCAAGGGGGGGATAAGGATGTGATAAGGTGAGTCAAAGGTGTGCTTTATGGTCATGAATTTCTTCTCTCTTCGTTCTTCCGTCTCTCATTCTTCGAGAAGAAGGTGACGCGTGTCGCGCGGAGGGAAGAAAAGGACGTCTTCTTCCTTGTTTCCTCTTTGCACACAATCAGAAATGTGCGTAACTTGCGGATGAATGGAGGAGACGACGCAAATCTTCGAGCCATTGTGTCTCGTGCCCTGACCGACACAGACAGTATTGTTGTCCGAGGGTTAGAGAAAGAGAGAGCCTCTTAAGAATTAAGGGATATGTGCATGCACCGTTTGCCGAGGGGAACTTCTTAGCTACACACATACATAGGATGTTA